TGTTTGAGTTGGAATGCTGTCTATGATAATTCTGTTCGAGGGGTGTGCTAGGACAGGGACTGGCACAACCATCAAAGCTGCTTATGCTTCCTGTGCTTGTTTCCTAAATAAATACATAGTATTTCAATTGTTAATTACATGGTGCTATGTATATTAATATAGCATATGATAAGTGCATGTGTTTGTGTCCATGTGCATCTGTGAGGGGTATGTATTTATATACACACATACAAATGTTACACTGTTAATTTTAATCATTTTAATATACAGTGTTCATAAACTAACACATTTTTGTACTATATTAATTTAAATCATCAATTAAGCACTAATGTGATATCCCTATCTGTATTTACTGCGGCTCTTATTTTCAGGAAATTCAAGTACAACCATTTGAATTACGGTAAGTCACTTTCAGACAGAAAAGAAAAGCAACTGTCAAAACTGCAGCCTGGTGATAGCGCCAGCAATACTTTTTAGTTATTTACTATATAAGATATATTTCAGCTGGACGTGTTATTTGTTTCAGCTGGAAAGAAGCTATTTTAGAGGAAGCAACCCTTCCCAGGCTCCCAAGATCAATTTCATCTCTTGGTCTCTTCCAATGAAGGAATGATTATGCCCTCTCCCCATTACCGACTAAACAGCCAACACAGTCACAAATAGTATGAGAGTAAAAAAGTCATCTTCAACACTCGAACTGCCAGTACATGACAAGCATAGCAAATCAGATAATAAGCCCTAGTCAAACTTTTGCTTGTGCCTATTTTGTTACTTTCTCTATAGATGCTCATTATTTTAAATCTACTCCTGGCAATCCTGATGTAAATATGTTCATACATTGAGCATTCAAGCCACATGGAACTTCAAGGGTTGTAATACAGGAAGTGCTTTATACGGAGTTAGATTGATTCATCTAGTTCAGTGCATATCTACATGACTGGCAATAAATCACCAGGACTTTGGATAGGTATCTTCCACAGAGCTGCCTAAACGTAGCTATGTTCAATTCACTTATATACAACCCTTCCTAAAGGAATTCTGCTCTAATGTTGTCCTATTTCTGCATCAGTCTGGTTTCACTAACTAAACGTACCTACAAATGTCTCCATTTCAAGCACTGAATTTTTTTCCCCCAATTTGGAAACTATTCAGCTTACTATGGGAATAAAGGTACATTGTTTTAGCAGTCAAGTCTTTTAGTCTACCTTCCTTCCTGTCTCTCAAATAGTGGGGGGAAAAATAATAAAGAACTGCCACTTAAGGTGAGCTGATTTTGCCAATGAAAAAGAAGTCTCCACCAAAAGGAACAATATTTTTTATGTACCTAGGCTCCAAGACTGAAGTAGTAACAAGAAACTCAATGTTACAATAACTACAATGTCATGTGGAAAGCCAGTTTGGTGTAGTGGTTAAGGCATCAGGCTAGAAAGTGGGAGACTATGAGGTCTAATCCAGCCTTAGGCACAAAACCACCTGGATGACTTTGAGCCAGTCACTCTCCCTTAGCCCTCGAAAACAGGCAGTGGCAACCACTTCTGGAATACTGTCAGGAAAACGGCAGTGACTTGTGCAAAACAGCACTAAGAATCAACACTGTGTCAAAGGCACACAAACGCATGTAATTATATAGAAAAAGAGCTATGTCACTAACTTGTTCTTCAGATTCAAGTTAGATTTTCCCACTGAAAATGGCATTAACTAGTATAACACAATTGTTCAATATAGCAAAGTTTCATGTTAACCAATTATTTTTAGCTTTACTAATCTGATCTGTCCTCTGATTTTGTTAACTGTGAGAGTTTTTAATTGCTCTTGAAGTTAAATTGCAACAGATTTACAAAATGCAAACATTCTTACTTTTAACGGTAGTATATGATCTGGATCTGTTTCAATAGAGGAGGCATCAAAAGAATTAGGCAAACATGTTGCACTTTTTTCTAGTGTGACTGGACTTTGGGGATCCTTGAACTGAGTATTTTCATGTGTAGTAATAGGAAGCTCAGGTTCTTCCTTGATCTTTGGTGAAATGGGATTGTATTCAACTGTTTGCTTTGAATAATTTTCTACTGAATCCTGTTTAACCAATCTTGCTGTTTGAAAATCCGCATTCGTAAGCACTTCCGAAAGTAATTTCAAAACACCAGATAGGTCAGTAATTGGAGGATCAGCAACATTCTGTTGTCTCAAATCGGTATCACGCCCACCAAGATCAGCTATCATCGAAAGAAGTGATTCTGGTGCTCTGTCATCTAAAAGTCCAGCTGGGGTAGGGGTAAAAATATACAGAAAAAACAATTATTATGCTAAAAGCTTTCTACTATCCATCAATTGATGGATATGATACACACAAGAAAACACATTTCTAATATTCTACATTTTGAGCCTAGTGAAAAAAGTATTCAAAGACAAAAATGGATGTGCTCTTTGCATAAAATATCAGCAGTTACATTTATACCGATTTTCAAGCCCAACAACTTGCTTGGATATTTTTAATGAACAGCTAAGCCCAAGAAATCTGACTTGGGTAGTACCTACAGGAGAGATCACCAGGAAATCTCACATTTGCTGACTAGATTGGGAAATTTAAAAAAAAAAAATCTCCAAAAGGCAACAGTTGCAAACTACTAAGAGTATATTATTGCCAGAAAGACAACACGGACATTTCCATGCAATAGCCAGGAATGGGGATTTTTACTTACTTAAATGTCAGGGAGTTAAATCTTCTGCACTGCAGATTCCATACCCACAAAAACTGATCGAATGTGCCCAATGCCAATCCACATAATAACCAAAATGCTGAATTTTAACTAATACAAGCAATAAAAACTGTATGAATGTAAAATGCAGTCATTCGATATGAGCGATTTTTAATTTGCATTAAGATTCAAAGTGTAAGAAACATGCTATAACAATTAGATTTATATTTTCCTAAACTCTTCAGTTAATACAGACATTCTTACCTTCATAGTTTTCTAATGTATTGCTCATTTTTAACTGCTTTTGTGGGCTCTCTCCTTTACTTCCACATTTTCGTTTCCGCCTGCTTTCATTTTTATTGTCTTCTGAGTCAGATTCTCTGTCTACATGTTTCTTTGTATAATGAATTAAATTAATCAGATCTTCAATATTTCCTCTATCACGATCTCCAGAGTGAACAGACTTTCTTTTGGCAACTAAACTTTCATATTTTGATCCATTTCTTTTGCCAGCTTTTTTTCTTCTTGTAAAATCAGATTCATCTTCCAGGGCTTCATAATCTGAAACAGGACTGAACTGCTGAGGTTTTCTATTACTGTCCATTATTTTCTTCATTTTAGAAATAGGAATCTGGTATGCTTCTGAACCAAAAATATAGGACTGCAAACAGTTCTCAAGATGGGATTTATTTTTAGGACCAGAATACAGAAATGTTTTCTCATCCAAGTTTCCTTTATATTGATATAAAACAAATTCTTTATATTTACTGTATCGTTTAAAATAGTCCTTTATATATTTTTCCATCAAAATATTCAAGTCAGACTTAGAATCTTTGCGAGAATGTACGTATGCATAATGCAATGACTGGATAAATCTTGGAAGCTCTGGTATAACTTCATGCGTTTCATCCAATACCAATGTATTCTCATTTTTCTGATCACTTTTGTGCACTATGTTCAGAATAGGATTTAAAAAGGGGGGGAAATGAAAAAAATCAGTAAGCAATACGATGTCTTCCACCGTTCCCTGAATAAACTTACACAATCTGCCTTTGCTTAGTGGAATTAACACATGCATTTCTCCCTCAACATTTTACTTAATAGCAACTAAAATAGGTTACGCTGAAGAAACATAACATGCTCAAAATCTATCTTGGGATTCCTATTCTGCTTGTACTTTAAGATAAAAACCTGAGATATTTTTCACATGTTCATCAGGAAGGATAATGGGGATGGGCAGCCATGGAAAAATGTGCTTTTTCAACACTATACTTAGTACTTCAAACAAGAATTTGACAAACCTCTGTATTATATGCATACATATAATACAAAGTGTGAAAAAAAATGCTTACAATATAGATCAGTGGTGGCGAACCTATGGCACGGGTGCCAGAGGCGGCACTCAGAGCCCTCTCTGTGGGCACGCACGCCGTCGCCCCAGTCCTAGTCTTCAGCTGGGTTTTATAAAACCTTTTCGCTTTAGGCATCTGCCGCCGTGTACAAAAAAAAGTTTCAATCAGTCAATTTCAACTTCTTGCGGGGAAAAAAAAGATCTTGCAAAGTTGGAATTGATTGATTGAACTTTTTAGTCCCACCCACTGCTGTTACCACTGCAGCCACGCCCACCCAATGGGCCACACCCACCCGGCACCCGACAATGCATAAGTGGGTTTTAGGTTGCAGTTTGGGCACTCGATCTCTAAAACGTTCGCCATCACTGATATAGATTGTTTATTGGATTGCTATTTCTTTATACCAGTATTTGTTACTGCTTTACTGGAAGACTGAATTTCAAAAGTCTGGTTTTGTTGCTAGTTTTTATTAAATGCAATGTTCTCACTGATTACGGAAATAATTTTGGAACGGACATAAAGCCTTTTAATTAATAAATGCTGTACCATTTAACAGCACACAATTTCATTTATAAGTATTTTCAATTTACCTATCCATCAACTTGTGTTGTCATACTAATTAATACATGCTTATTTGATACATACTTCCACACACATGCTAGTGAAATAATCAATATATCATTTTTTTAATAGCTGTAATTATACAGATTTTGTTCTGAAACTTAATCAGTTAACAAGCATTCTTAGATGTACTAAAGAGATCAATATAGAAATATTTGCTTAGAAGGTACCAGCTAAAATGCTATTTCTAAATTACATAGATAATTTGCCAAGTAGTGTCCTACGATACAGTGTAGGTCAACTCAGAACATATTAAATATGAAAAAAGTTAAACTTCAAAAACTAAAAACTACTCATGAACCTGACAAAAAGGAAGATATACTGGAAATGTATTGTTTATCCCTACAATAGATATTATTAAAAGGATAACTATGTTGGTGCTCTAAATTCAGCTTGTGATTCTGCGTGGCCAGCTATATTAGCTTGAAGAAATGTATAACTATTTCATGAATCATTTAGTTTATGTAATTAATTTTGTACTGGTTATATTAATTAAATCAGAAGCTTAGTTACAGATTTCTTTTTAATACTTTGCCAGATAACAATTATGAAGATTGTTCTAGACGTATGAAGTTTAGGGGAGTTAATTCTGAAATGTCAAATTTTTCTTTTTATAAACTTATGGTAAAGCAGAGTGGAGAATGTGATATTATTTACTTACACTGATAATTTATCATTCACAATGCGCTCAGCCTTTATTTAGTCTACCACTTTAATTCCAGTAAGCATTTTTAATATAACAAATTTGACCCAGAGAGCCATTGATGAAGGTAAGGTATCAGGGCTGGAAATTGAAGACCGTGAGGTCTAATCCACCTTAAGTAGGCATAAAGGCAGCTGGATGATCTCAAGTCAGTCATACCATTCCATCCCAGGAAGCAGACAATAGCCATTTCCAAAATCTTGCCAAGAAAATTGCAGAAACTAGTCCAGGCAGTCACTAGGAGTTAGCAATGACTTACATGGACAAAACTTTTTTAAAAAACCCTCTCTTTAACTTTGCTTCTTCCCTCTTCTGAATCCACTTGGATTCTGTCTTCCTTTTTGCTCTTCATTGACAACTAAGATTGTAGATAACATGTTCTTCCTTGCTAACTGAGGTAGGAGAAAGGGTGAGATTCTCTCCTTTCTTTCTTGAATCAGCGTTCAATACCTCCCATGTTCCACATAAAATTCACTGCATTCTAGCCACCTTAAGAAGTAATCCCCTTTTCTCATAAGATAAAGACTTTGCTGCAGATTTATTCTAAGGATACCACTCCAACACTTTAATTACAGAGTCAGGAAATTATACCCCATAATCCCGTAAGGAGGAAAGCTGCTTTAGAAATGATGGGATTGGCTTATAGTAAGCAAACTAGTTAAGACACATTTAAATACAGCAAATGCAGCATTTAAAGATATTCATAGGAGTTAACTAAGTTAGGTTTTTCTTTCAAGATTTCACCACTTTTTCCTCAGGCCTTAAGGAAAGGAAAAGGTAAGAAAATATTTTGACTATTATTTTTTTCCCTTACTGTAATCTAAGGGCTTTACCACCGTCAGCTTTATCAAACAAAAGTACCAAACATTATGAATGCGCACTGGTTCTAAGAAAAGTCAGTTGCAGCTATAATCTTTTGATTATCTTTTGATAATAGTTAACAAATTTTCTCCTTCCTGCCCACTGCTGGGCTAGCACTCGTGGCCACTAGAACTCCAGCCTACTTTAGAGATGAAAATCAAGTCTGGCTTCACTATAATCCAAGGCTGGATCTGCAACTTGGCATTACTGTTATTGTGTCAGAAATACAACAATAATTAACAATGGACATACCTCCACATTAAATACTGAAAAAATTACCTGTAGTCATTAAATTTCTAGGCTTTTGAAATAGAAACAATGCTTTCAAAACCCGAGGTCTTCCTGTTCGATTATCTGATTAAAATATAAAGGGGAAGTGGAATAAAAGAGAAAATAAATGTTAAAAGATAGCAAAATACTACTCCCGTGGTGGCGAACCGGTGGCACGCAGAGCCCTCTCTGTGGGCATGCAGAGGCCTTCAGCTGGGTTTTATAAAACCTTTTCGCTTTAGGCCTCCGCTGCTGTGTGCAAAAAAAAAGGTTCAATCAATCAATTTCAACTTCTCGCGGGGAAAAAAAGATCTCGCAAAGTTGGAATTGATTGATTGAACTTTTTAGTCCCACCCAGTCTGCCGTTACCACCGCAGCCACGCCCACCCGGCACCCGACAATACATAAATGGGTTTTGGGTTGCAGTCTGGGCACTCGGTCTCTAAAAGGTTCGCCATCACTGTACTACTCAAAGCAATTGCTCAAGAAAGACATAGCATTTGCATACCATATGGGGAAGCCATTTGATAAGGAGAAAGAAGCAAGAGATATCCTCCATCTACAAGTGGTTTTAAAATAACCTACAAAAAAGACATTTAAATTAGGAATGGAATTAAAGTATAACACAAAACAAGTTTTGTTCATGCTGTAATTTCAAAAAAAACCACAGGTCATGTTGTTTTGAAATTTCCAAATATGCATACAATAAAAGTATAGAAAAAAATCTATACTCACCAGGTTGTCTGTCTCTAGCTTCTGAAGTAAACCTTCCAAATTGCTTCCCGATCTAGTCTTTTCCACAACTTCAAACAGACTACAATACATGCCATTCTTAAACACTGAGAATATAGAAAAAAAGGGCTGTCAATAAGCCATCTCATTAGAGAACAAAGTTAGTACAATGAGTCTAAAAAACATCACATAAGAGAATTTTCCTCCCCTTTCCTCCCTCAATAAGCAAATTCTATGGGAATAAATTTAACAAACAAACAAAATAAATCTGCTTGAATAGGATAGGACTGGAAGGAAGGTACTCTTCAGCAATGGGGAACCACTCGTTTTTGGAAAGAACTGTCCAGGGCAAGTTCTACATTACATTGGCTCAAAATGGCTCATCTCTCACTTCTCTAATCCCACAAGAGAACAAGAGATTGGGGAAGTTCCCTTCCATGAAATTCTCTTTAAAAAAAATGTACAAAATCTAACTCAACATTAAGCAATGTGATGTTGTGGACTATAGTCATTACTAAGGTGTTCAAAATGGTCTGAATTCAAAAGAGCCATCTAGAATGTTTTAAGCCTGAAACAAAACTGGTGTTTCAAATGACATTAAGTGTTTCGTGCTACACTGAGCCATGCAACTGAAGTGTTGTCTACTGATTTTTTGTCCCCTGCTCTAGACCAGAGGCCCCCAACCTTTTGGGCACCAGGGACTGCTTCCGTGGAGAGAGGTTTTTCCACAGACCGGAGGGGGCATGGTTTCACCTGCTGCCTGCATCCTGCAGATGGGACTTTGCTTGTTTGCACAGCCCGGTCTCTGGCATGCGGGGATTGGAGACCCCTGCTCTAGACAGTATAGAAGGCAATGATAGTCACATTGCTGTTATTACCGACTTAAGACTGGATGGACTGACCTAGTGGTTGGAGTTTAGAAGTGAAGCAATATGGATCTAGGCAGCCCATAACACTGTAAGGAAGGCATTCTCATCTGATTGCTATCAATGAGAGACAACTAAAGAAGGCTTAAGATTGTAATTAAGGACCTGTAACTGGACTGTGCGTCACTGCAGCTTTCTCTGTTGCTGGAAATAAGTACACCTGATTGCTGATCTCCAAATTAAAACTCACTGAAGACTTAACTGAAATCAGGTCTTATTTTACATAACAGTATAATGGAATATAATGGAATTGGTGAGGAGAGAAAAGTGTGAATTTTCTTCCCATTCTCTTGATCTTCAGATGAACTCCCTTAAGAATTTGAAAGTACATCTCCTCCAATCCACATCCCATCAAATAAAGAAAAAGTTGTTTGCTATTTTGGAGGAAATACTTTTTTTCAGTTAAATGTTCTGTGAATCCTAGCAGCAACACTGTTAGGATTGCTTGTTATATATACATACAAATTACAATTATCTCCATTTTCCCTCTTTTTAAACAGATGGATGTCACTAAGCACTCCAATCATTTGCCACCAACTCCAGTTTATGACCAGCTACATACTCCTCCCTCCTAACTAGAGTTTTCTCCTTTTGTGTTCTAACAATTATAGTACTGCTCAATCATTCTAAACTCTCCATTTAACTAGTAATCTTTTAAAAAGAATAATTATATTAGTATATCTTGCTTTCCTTAACTTAGAAAAAGTTCTTACCTTCCCTTTCTCCCAAATAAGTTTCTTTAGCCAACACTCGTGATGATAATTTCTGAGCCAAATTTTCAAAGCTGATTACCATTTCAACATCAAGCTTTTCAGGACTAGTAGTGATAGAAGAAAAAAATATTAAGATTTCATTACTCTTTTGTTTTAGTCAAAACTGGGTTTTTTTCTTTCATACCCTAAAAGGAAAATCTGGAACTGTGCAAAAACTGTTTACCAAGAATCGGATTAAGAAAAAAGTTGCAACCAAGTTTGTGTAGAAAATGTGAGGGTAGCAAGACTCAGTAGACAGACAGACAGTTTGAGGCAAACTTGACTGTAGGCTCTGAATGCAAGATAACAAGATTAACAACCACCGATGGACTGGGGACAAAACTACAGAAACCAACTGATGCGGGTAAATTTGTGAATCCTTCTTCTGAAAAGGCAAAAAAAATAAAATTGACAATGGGTGCCTGGAAATCCAAGGAGGCTAAGATCTCAAGCAGGCATGCCAGCTGGTAAATATCACTGGATCTACACCTAACTAAGATAAGTTAGGTCCATGTCATAGAAACTAATTCATAATTAGAAATCACACACACACATACAGTCCCGAAGACCAGAACAGCGAGAAGACTGCATATATAGCCACTAAAGCATAAAAGTTTATAATGCTGGACTTGGACTGGGAACACTCAGCTTCAAATCCACCCTTAGCCATGTAAGCTCACAGGTGACCTTCAGGCTAGTCACTTTCTCTCAGTCTAACATACATCTCATAGGGGTGTTGTGCTGAAAAACTCGGTGCCACCTTGCTTTTCTGCAGAAGTGGGATTAAAAAACAAAATAAACAAGTGGTTCTAGACCAGGGGTAGGCAACCTTGGCTCTGTTATGATTCGTGGACTTCAACTCCCAGAATTCCTGAGCCAGTATTCTGGGAGTTGAAGTCCACGAGTCATAAAAGAGCCAAGGTTGCCTACCCCCGTTCTAGACTATGGGGGATTGGCCTCCTGAGCCAACATAGAACAGTCAAAGTAAGATTGGGACTTGCACTTAAGCAAAAAGTTGTTCATCAGATTAGTTCATTGTATATACATGCCTTCCAGGCTTACTGGTAGAACTTGCAAGTACATCACTGATTGTTGACTGTGTATCACAGAGTACTTCTCCTACTTTTGTTGATCCTGTATTGTATATCCTTCCTCTATAGGAAGCTATTTTGGGGGTAAGATTAAAATTTACCCGTGTGTACATATGCTTGCTGTTGTATTAATTTCTTCAATGAATTCTGTCTTAATAAATTGTTCTTGGGTCTTGTATACAACCTGGGTAGCAGTGAGATCTAAGGAAGCTAGAAATGTATTTTAGCAGGTAAAAATAAAATTACTAATACTGTGCAGAGCTAGAATGTTCTAGTCCAGTGGTGGCGAACCTAAGGCACTGGTGCCAAGAGGCAGCACTTGGAGCCCTCTCTGTGGGCACACGTGCCGTTGCCCCAGCCTTGCCTCCCCCCGTGACCCTACCAGCAGCCCTCCTGGAGGAGAGTTGCCCCCAGGCGTGGCCCACGCGGAGTAGCGCAGCCAAGGACATGGCAGCCAGGCAGCGTAGACAAGACTTCCCTCACGCCCCATCGCGGTTGATGCTGCAGGGCACGGGAAGAGGGCGTGGCCGCCATGGTGCTGCTGGGCTGCCTGGGCGATCTGCGGCGGGCCCTGGAGGCGGTGAGTGGCCCTGCGGGCAGGCGGGGTAGGGGCGGGGCAGGGGGTGGAACAGGGGCGAGGCCAGTTTTTGGGCACTCGATCTCTAAAAGGTTCGCCATCACTGTTCTAGGCTTTCAAAATTTTAGATAATCTAGTCAATTCAAACTGATTTCAGGTCTGGTTATGAATACTTACAGCTTGCAGGGAAGCGTAGGGCGTTTTTCAGATATCAAAGCAGCATGACAAACAAGCTTTCCTTTGTTTAAAAGTTGCCCTTTCCATAAAGTATAACTTGCTTTATCTACAATATAAAAGGACAGAAATATTCAAAATACTAATCTAATGTTTCTGAAAAAGAGGATTTTAATAATTAAATTATCAAGGCAATTATACTGTATGCAGTGTCAAAACACCATTGCTAACAGTAAGAACAATTCACTTGATAGTAACGAATGACCAGGAATTCTATACAAGTAAGTTTGGATAGAAAAGACAAACCTTCCTACTCTGTCCGACCTAACTTCAGTTTTAGTTTTTGTACAAACAGGGAAGAAACCTGTTCAATGAGTTTATTTTTGCTTTTACTACTGAATAAAAATAAATAAATAAAATAGTAATGTTTACTGTGTGTTTAAATCCAGTAGGTAGAAAAATAATATATCTTCTTATGAAATATTAATCTTATTGCCAACAGCAGCCTGTAGCACAGGTGAGAAATAGACAGAACATCTCCTCCCACTTCCAGGTTTTTATCTAAAATCCGACATGATGATGGGCATGAACATAACATCTTTTGTCCACTAAGTAAATGGAATATCCTTAAATAGTTCCTTTCTATATCAGTACAATGCAGGTAGTCATATTCAGGTCCCATATGGATCTATCTCTATGGAAGACACTAGTGTAAGATCTTCTATTTAACAGCTTTTATTATGTTGAAAGCATCCATCACTAATGTTTACTCATGCTGCAAAGTATTCTCCATTAGCTGCCTTTCACTGTCGCTGTCAAAATAGCTTATCTGAACCACAATCAAACAATTCTTTGGCTGTCAATATTGTCCCCCTAGGATCTCTTTTACTTTATACACTTCAACTTCCTGATTAAAAATAATTGTCAAGGTGCCTGAATGCACAAAACGAATAAAGCATCAATACAATCTAACAAATGTGGACTTTTATCAATATAATACATATAATAGCCAGAATATAATTCTGGACATTATCTGCCCAATGAGTTTTCCACTTATTTCTTTTAGAATGTCTCATTATTGACAAAAAAAAAACCCTAGCATCTATTATGCTAGATTGGAACTTCCATTTCTATATATTCACAAGAGGGGATTTTTTGTTAGTTCCATGGTTAGAGTGTTCAGCATACATTAATACCTAGAGAGGACTGCACAGCATGTGTTGCTCAGCCCACTGATGCTTTTAAATAAATTTAGAACCCTCTCTGCTACGCTGCCACTGCCAGCTCCAATGCTTTGTTGCTCTGCTAGGCCCTGAACAGCCAATTGGTGCTTCTGGTATTTCTTTGTGGCCCAGAAGAATTTTTATTTTATCAATGTGACGCTTTCCCTTCAACACATTGTGCAGGCCTGACCTAGAGTTCAGTCTCCAGTACAAAAGTTAATAAACATTAAGAGCTATGCCATTCTTGAAGGTATCAATTCTTTCTCTGGCTTATATTCCTGACTCATTGTAAGACATTTTGCTTCTGTTTTTTATGTATCTGCCTTCCAAAGGATGCTCAATAATTTTGATTTAGAAATAAAACTAAATTCTAATTCATGATATGCTGAGTGTTTTACACAGCCACAGATTCCACCTGACTACATATGCAGCCACTTTATCTTTTATCATCTATTATCATTTATCTTCGGTCACTGCATACTGCATTGATAAACTGCCTGAGAAAATAATGAATACAGAAAATGTTATTTACCTGACTGAAGAATTTACATAAATTAAATACTAAATACAATGGAATACAAAATGTACTTTAAAATAGATTTGCTTCCCAGCCAAGTATTCAAAACATCTTAGAGCTTTAACTATCACTGGAATGGGAAAGAGCAACACCCTCTTTCAAGATAACCAAGTATCCTATCTTTCTACAGAAGACTCTTTTAACAGAAAATCTTCCAGGAACTTCAGTCCAGGAACCAGGTTGCACAAGCAAGCAAAACCCCATTCGGGCACGCCTTCTTCTGTGGAAAAACCACCCTTTACAGAACCAACCCTGGGTGTCCAAAAGGTTGAGGGCAGCAATATATCTCTTTCTTTAAATACTTTTAATAGCTTAATTCTAACTAGAAAAAATCAGTAATTTAGGTATTTTCAGGAAGGCATAAAATGTTTTAATATATTTAAAACAGGTGAGCATCCATTACTTTGGAAAAAGAATATGACATCTAAAGGTAGCCCTCATTTAATAACCTCACTGGCAATACCACTGTTAAATGAAACATCATGTGACTGTGCCTGGCTTTAAAATATCAGTCATCATGTGTGATGTCACATGACCAGGATTTGCAACTTACTGCTGGCTTTCTCACTGACTTTGCCAGTGTCAGAAGCCAGCTGTGAAGGTCACAAATGGTGATCATGTGACCCCAGAATGTTGTGTTCATCATAAATGTGCACCAGTTGCAAAGCACCTAAATCGCAATCACGTAATGCAACAGTCATTAATTTGAAGACCAGTCTTAAACCTATTTTTTTTCAACACTATCGTAAGTTCAAACATTTGCTGATTGAAGCAATCATTAACCAAGAACTACCTATACACAAGTTAACATTTCAGGCAATAGCCCACAATTTTATTTAGTAACTGAATTCTTACCAGTGCTCTTATCCATACTAGAAGTCTTTGATCTATAAGCAAAAGTAAATAGTTATAATTTAAAAAACAATTCATTTTTATTGTATATAATAAAATCTAGATTTTTTAGAATAACTGTATACAATTTATAAAACATTTTTCATATAGAAAAGAATGGAAGAATATTCATAAGTAGGACTTCAATATTTCATTGACTACCCACAGCCCACCAGCTACCTCTACACCTTTCAAAACAATATGGAGATAGTGCTGGTTTTTTGGTTAAAGCTCATGTTAAAGTTATATATATATATATTAACATTGCACTCAGGTAAGGTCTGAAGCCACTTACAGGAAAAGGCAGTATTTCTTGTTTCTCTACTAGGCATCAGATGAAACCATTTCATTATTTCTAAAATATATCCAATCATTTTTTAGAATGTCAACAAAGCAACAAATCCCAAAGGGAAACTACGGAATACATTAAAATGGCAGGTATAAAATCCTCTGGATAGTTCTATATAAATACACTGAACAAAGCATTAAATAGAACAAAATAAGATGAATTATCTTTTACACAGGTATGTTCCAAATTAATATAACAAGAATCTCAACAACTTATCGAGTCAAAGTAAATTTATATAACCTAAATTTCAATGAGCCAAACTGAGGCCACTAAGGATTTTATTAATAGAAAGCTCATTTGGTAATTCAATTATTAGACTGCATTTTTAACAACCTTTGTTTCCCAATACATGCTCAGGATTATAGTTAGATTTTTGGAGGCCTTCCATTTCTAATTCTTAGTAAATCACTTAAGTTATTACAAGTTAAATAGTTTGTCACTACTTTGTTGAAGATTTTGAAGTCTGCGGGGTTTCCAACAATTGTTTTCCCCTTTCCACAATTTTTATGACAAGTAGTCAAAAGGTTTTAATTTTGGCACTGTAAATATGAATCAAGCAATATCCCAAGGTTACCATCTGAACAAAAGCCCTGAAATACATCTAACAGCAGCACCTTAACTGATCTGAATCACTGGTGTGGGGCAGAAAAAAAGACCAATTAGGAATTATTAGAGCACCTTTCAGGGTATTCTGTGGTCAGAGATTGGGACATAATAAATACCAGTGTGCTAATGTTAAACATAGCTAAGAGAATGAAGATATGCACTTTTTTTCAGAAAAAACATCCATTTATATGTATTTTACCCATGAAAAGCCAAAACTAATATTTCAGCCTGTTTCAATGTTATATTCCAGAAATTATAGAAGCACCAGGATTGTCTTCATTTAGTGCTAGGCATGAAAGTGTATCTCTCAGGTGTATGTTACAGCTGATATTATTGGCATGGTTTTCAGACTAATGACTGTAAAAAGTGAATTCATCACTTTCCATATAGTAGAGCAAACTGCTTTTAGAGTTGAAAGGAGCCTTCTCACTAATTTATAACCTACTTATTTTCACAAGTGCTCTTGTTGCTTTAATAGAGTGTAAGGGATATGAATAATATATGTTAGGGATGTGAACATTATATAAAAGGTTTGATTAAATAAAAGTCATAAAATTTAACTAATATTTTACACAGTACTTTTAAAAATATAAATAAAGCTTCACTCACCTTACTTGAGGCAAGAACTTTTGCATTTTTTCATCCTTGTACAAAAACGATACAATAGCATATGGACACACATGTCTTGGTCTTTTCCTGACCTCATGAAAGTGATATTCATAGAAGTAATACTAGAAACAAATGTATAACAAACAATTCTGACTGAAATTTACTGGACCTCAACTCAATTAGATGATCAGTGAAATATAGTCCTAGTTTTTCTGAAATTTACATCAATGATGAGCAGCCCAGAGTCACCTTATCAGGGAGATGGATGGCATATAAATTTAATTAATTAATAATAAAAGCAATGTTGGGAACAAAAAAAATTTGCCAAACACATCTCTGTAATTTTATTTAGAAATATATTCAACTATTCAAGTTAAGAGATAGAGACAGATAGAATAAGAATAAGAATAGTAAAGTTGGAAAGGACTTAGAGGTCATCTAGTCCAACCCCCTGCTCAGGCAGGAAACCCTATACCATTTCAGACAAATGGCTGTCCAGTCTCTTCTTAAAAACTTCCAGTGTTGGAGCATTCACCACTTCTGGAGGCAGGTTGTTCCACTGGTTAATTGTTCTAACTGTCAGGAAGTTTCTCCTTAGTTCTAGGTTGCTTCTCTCTTTGATTAGTTTCCATCCGTTGCTTCTTGTTCTGCCTTCAAGTACTTTGGAGAATAGCTTGACTCCCTCTACCTCCTGAGATATTGGAACACTGCTATCCTGTCCCCCCTCGTCCTTCTCCTCATTAAACTAGACATACCCAATTCCAGCAGCCTTTCCTTATATGTTTTAGCCTCCAGTCCCCTACTCATCTTTGTTGCTCTTCTCTGTACTCTTTCTAGAGTCTCAACATCTTTTTTACATCGTGATGACCAAAACTGGATGCAGTATTCCAAGTGTGGCCTTACCAAGGCATTGTAAAGTGGTATTAATACTTCACGTGATCTTGATTCTATCCCTCTGTTAATGCAGCCTAGCACTGTGTTGGCTTTTTGGGCAGCTGCAGCACACCTTGCAGGCTCACATCTAAGTGATTGTCCACTAGGACTCCGAAATCCCTCTATTGATATACTGAAAGCTTGAATGGGATTGATCGATAGATACATAAATAGATCGATTACATTATTTTATCTTTAATATAAGCCGTATTATTTACAGTGCAGAAAAACAGTAGAAAACAATAATGCTATGAGAAAGGAGAAAATACAGGTAATACTTGACTTAGAACCACAATTGGGACTGGAATTTCGATCAATAAGCAAAGTGGTTAAGTGAGATGTCACGTGACCACTTTACTTAGTGACTTAGAGGCACTAGAACAGGGGTGTCAAACTGCCGGCCCATGGGCTGGATGCATCATGAGGAAACCGCACCCACCCCATTGCCGGCAATGGGCAAAAAGTTCCGAGACATCATGTGATGTCACGTGACGTCGCGAGTTTGACATGTCCGCATTAGAGCATAACACAACCACGATACCAATATTTTGATACATATTTTGACCTTTTCATTCCTAAGTAACCTTCCACTTTCACTTTTTATTCACTCACTTCTATCCACAGTATCAGCTTTTTTCACATCTACTACAACCTTTCATTTTCTTAGTTTCACATGTATAACTTATGTATTTTTCTTTCAATCAATTGTGCACTTTACTTTTTACTCCTCTTACATTCCAGTTTGCAATCTTCCACATGCTATAATCCAGGGGTCCCCAACCCCTGGTCCGTGGACTGGCACCGGTCCGCAGCATGCCAGCAAGCGGGCTACACAAACAAGCAAAGCTCCATCCTTGGGATGCAGGCAATATTCAAAACCACACTCCTTCTGGTCGGCAGAAAAACCTTTCTCCATGGCACCAGTCCCTGTTGCCCAAAAGGTTGGGGGCCTCTGCTATAGACATCATCAGATGAGCTATTCAGTTAACTGAGGCTTTCATATAACACTTTTTAGAAGGCAAAGAAATAAGACTAGTTTATCAGACCTAGCTATATATATGCAATGTTCCCAGCTAACAGAAAGGACAGTATTAATCAGTTGTGGCACATTTTTGCCAGTATGCCACAAGTACATCCACAACCTCGTGCTATTCTATGAAGTCAGGATTTAAAACTATAGGTACTGTTGCCTAAATCTTACAAATTAGAAGACACTTTTCTACATTAAACAATTAGGAAATTAGGGCAACCATATAAATATTTTCCAATACTATTTTACCTGCGTACGTTCATATGCTCTGTAATTACGGCTGGATGTAATTTTGTTTGCAGTTTTTGAAACATGACATTCATGTTTTGGTGTAGGATCCAATGCATTTTTAACAGCTGAATCCATTGCATTTACTGTCTGGTTATCATATTTATCATATATAGTCTTCATTTTCCCCTAAAATATTAGGAAATGGTTATTAATTTTATTGCAGGTACAATGCAAGCCCACAACATTTTCTACCTTGTAAAGTCACACACAACATTATAGAACATTAATGCTCACTTAATATATCCCTTAGCTTAGTCATAGAGGATTCAACTCAATTTTATCTGAAATGGCATTAATATTTTTCTAAATTGCCAGTGCACTTTTTAATTCTATGGAATTAAGTTCATACAAATATACAACATCCCTTAATAACGTGAATGGAATATATGGAGGGTTGAACTGTGGAGCCCTTGGTGCTGCCTGAACTTGGATTATTTGCTTGCATACATTTCATTTCCAAACTAGGAAACATCATCAGTGCTTTTAAAAGATGTTTAAATTTTAAAATATTGTAATCACATTTATACAGAGAAAGATTATTTAAAATGTTTTATTCAGATATATTATTGCATTAAAGACAAAGTATTATATTGGTTTACTATTTCTCCTTAAGACATAGGATGAACCCTTAAAAAACTTAAGGGAAATCCTAAAGCATACCTTTATTACTTTAAAAATAATAATATCACCAGTTGCATTAGTCTCCAGAGGATTAGTCTGTAACAAGTCAGCATACTTGGAAAGATATACACCTATAAGATATGAAAACAGTATGTCAACACAGTATGTCAACAAATGATATTTACAGAATTATTTTTTGGTGATGTACAAAAAATGTCAAAATGGCCATACCACATAATGTATTTCAATATATGGTATAGATAAAATTCAATGTTATGTTTCCAATTACAAAAGGTGTTTCCAATGACAAAATAGTGGCATACGTGGAGTTTTCTGCATCCCAACCAAGCTAAGAATGTGTGCGGGGTGAAAGGGAGGGGCTGTTATTCTTCACTTCATAATGGATTTTGGAAGTATGTTGAGGAATATGAAGATATCTTTCTATGTAAAAGGTCACACCCCTTTATGACACTAGAATTTATCCTAAAACATTCCATGAAACTACTGAAATACCATCCGAACGAGTAGCAGCAGTTATATTTTTAATCCAGGAAAAACAGACTTATTTAAAAAAAATGTGCATGCCACCCACTTCCTTAATAGGTCTGCAAGTAATCTGATCATTTAATATTAACGCATGAGAAAATTATGAGTCACCAAAGTTATTTTTTATTTCTGTAAGAATTCTCTTTATGATAACATATTGATAAATCATTCAGATTAAAGCAGAAAATAAACAAGTCAGACTGGTAACTGATTTAAAAATTCAGAATAAGTCAGCTGGATAAAGTTGGTATCCTGGTTTAAAATGTATTAATCAAACACAATACATCTTCTGCCTTCATATTTCTCGTTACCATATATTTAGTAACAAAGACATAGTTACCCATTGAAGGATTGCCGAGAACTGTTATCTTGGAATGGCCCACCAGTAAGCCGTTTTCACATATATTTTGGACCTGAAATTAAACATTATTTAATATACCAGAATGATACAGAATTTTGTGACACTATAATGATTGATTGATTGACCAATTGTTATTATATTCATCTTTAATTGTTTCTTGCATTTGTTTTACAATAAACTACTTTTTGAAATAATATTAGGACAGGAGGCTTTAGATAGCATACGGTTACAATAAGCCAACTTGTTACCTTTACACAGCATATTATTAAGTTATATTAATTTCTTGATTTAATGGGTGAGCAGGGGAAAGATTGTCTGTTTAAAAGTCCATTAAATGGTGACACAGATATTATACTCCTACCAAAAAAGGACATTCAAATCACAGCTGAGAAACAAGTGCTGTAGGGATTCAAATGTGAGCACAACTGATGGTACTCCTAGCAACCGTATGCATAGTTGATTAAATGCCGAAGCTCCATCATACTTACGGTTTGATAATGGTACCTTCAATCAAAATGCCTTTGACATAATCTTGTAAACTAACCTTTATTATATTAAACTTCTAGCACATTGGCACAGAATGTTCAATAATATTTAAAATGCTCAAAGAACAAAGACAGCAGAAGCCATCAATATCTGCATTTGGAGAATTTTGATGTCAATTTCTTTTACCATAATATTACAGAAACAAAATTAACTAACTTGTCTTTGTGCTTGTTAGGCACTCACAGTATTTCAGTAATTGCAATGGCAAAGCAATAATTTAAAGTTCAATTCTCCTTCCTTGCTGGATACAGGAGATAGCAATATCTGACTTAGCCTTTCTGCTTAATACAGCAGCACAAATCCTGCAAAAAGTGTGCTTTAAAAAGCATGGAACCACATAAACACACCATTTTTCAAATAATGAAAAAATAGTATCTTTTTCAAGGTTTGCATGTTTCTTGAGAAGCAGTCTTCAGCTATTTCTATATGCTGAAGTGACATATAACATGGAAAAATGCAGTTATGTTAACAATTCAAAACAAATTAGTATTGTTACTAAATATTCTCTAAAGCACCTCTTTCAAAGGATTTGCACATTCCTCCTACTCTGTAGTTATTCCAAATACTAAACAAACACAGCCAACATAAACCTCCAACCCCAACCCCACAAATGTGTATAGATAAAAGTTGAAAGGGATCATTTTTGCCTCAGAAAATTTCCACCCTATTCAAAACTGAAGCGACAGACTTTGCTTAGTTTCATATTTTATTTCGAAGGCACAAAATTAGGAAAGCTGCCAATGAATGTTCATGCAGCAATAGTTTTGTCTGACTGATAAACAATCACCATCTACCAATTTTCTACATTCTCACATTTGTCTTTCATAGCAGTTAAGTATTATTTCATCTTTTACTCTGTCAGGTGTTAAAATTGACATCTCAATATTAAGAATTTGCTTAACAATATTCTTCCAGATATGCAAAGAAAATATTTTCTTTTATGCTTCAATTGTTGATTTGAGAAAACCAACAATACTTTAAAAGTTACTTTACAAAAATTACATTCTTACCAACAAACGATCAACCTTTAGAAATGCATATGCCTCAGCAAGCTCTTTCTCTGACCTCCCATCTTGTTTCAATTCTTTTCGTTTCTCTATGAACTTTAAAAAGAGTAAAAATTAATATAATGAATAAAAACTAGCACATTTCATAGTATATAGATAAGTCTTCAAGTTAAAATCATTTGTTTGGCAACCATTTATGTTATGTTGCTGTTTACGTTATGATGGTCACAGCACAGGATGGATTCAGAACTGGTCCTCAAAGTTCCCACCTTTGCAGGCAATGAACAATATATGGCACTTGACAACCAATTTGCACTTATATGATCACCATTTGTGACCTTTTCTGCAGGCTTCTCACAAGCAAAATCAATGGGGGAGCCAGAAAGAAGATCACAAGTTACTGGGGTAACTCTCCCCCACACCCCTGGCCTTTCTTTGCTCTCATACACTATGAGTTTTTGGACAGCTTTTCCAGTACTCCCTAGATATATTTGAAATTTCTGCATGCATAGCACTTAATTATGTACATTGATAATATATACTCACATCCTTTTCCAACAGTTCACTATGAACCAGACTGGCTTTTTTGTATGTGAATCTATCCTTTGAAAGGATATCTAAATATGATGAATGCAAAACGTTCACAATATCTTCAAATTCACGGGATTCATTTGTTATGGGCTGAAAAAGAGCTACCAAGAAAGAGAAAATAGGAAAATCACTCCTGATGCCTAATAAAATTATAAAACCTTAGAAACTAAATCTAAGGTAAACATAAAAGTGTTAGTAAATCTGAAATCTAATTATTATCCTAATAACATAGAAAAGCATGAACTTAGGTGAAAAGCTGCTTCTCCTACACCATTATTCAAAATAGACAATAATTATTGGTTTGGCCTGGCTTACTGCAAATACTATGTTAATGCAAATAGCTTACTTGTTCCTTTATTTTTTCCATTGTGATTAAACTTAAGGCTCTGGATCTCCTTAGTAAATTCTAAAAGCAATAAACTAGACTTTGTTTTTAGCTTATACATTTTGGATTTGTTCTGAAGTATCAAATCAATACACTAGGTTCAGCAAATATTCTTTTTATGAATTTTGTTATTATAACAGACTGGAGCAATGCACAAACATGCTGGATCTATCCAACCAATCAGACTAACACAATTCTGGTATACTGCTACAAACACTGCTTTTAATCATTTTGATAAAATTTACAGTAATTTCCTTGTATCAATAATTATTGCCTTGTAACAGGATGCTTTTTCGACTTCACCATCAGCTATATAGCTCTGAATTTTTCTGATGTTCTTACATCGAAGAACTAATCAGATTCAACTTCATTTTTTAAAAAAAACAAAATCCAAAATAATTCCACTTTTTTTAGGACCAGATGATGTTCCCCAAGCCTTTCTACTGCTCTTTAAATCAATGGTGATTTTATTTACCGTGTTTGACTTATGCTCAATAAAGTAAACAAATTATGCCTGTATTATATACCATACAAATATCTGAGTTTTCTAGGAGCCAGCAGTAGTTATAATGAAACATTTTATGACAGAAATAAATATGGTTTGGATATTATATTCAAATACATCCCCAACTAGTCTCAATCCTTTCCAGAAAAACATATGCATAATCCTCTGCTTTTATGAAGGATGGGAGCTTGGAGGCAGTGGTTTTTCTTGCAGTGTTTTCTTTGTGGAATACTCTTCCCACAGATACTATTAGCTTACATATTAATAACTTTTCATACATTTTATCAGAAGTGTTTGAATTCTTACTGTTTCAATTTTATGTTTTATCTGGGTTAGTGGTTTTGTATGTCTGTGATATATTTGGTTACATGCATATTTTTACTTTTGTTTTACTATATTGTAATCGTTTTAATGTGATGTACTAGAAGATACTGCAAGCCATTAGATTGCAATGGGCAATACATCTGATATTAACTATAAAAATTAACTACCACCTGGACACATATTTTAATATTTGACTAGCTTGCATGAATTTCCACAACTTAAATGTATTTTATTCAAATTTAATTATTATTAAAAAAAATTTAAAGAGGTAGTATAGTTATTTCCTTTCCCCTTCCTTTTTAAGACTTTTTATCCAGTCTTAAAGCTATTGTGTTTAAGTTTACTTACTTACTCACATTCTGTGCTTAACTACATAGTAAAAATCTAGAACCAGTAGTCAGTTACAATGTGATTTCAATATACTAGGAAAATCTAACATTAGAGTTCAAATATTACCAAGTATATTTTTTTCAAATCTCTGGCCCTTTGTTTATTTATATTTGATTTATATGCACCTCAATGAATACTGCAATGTTCAACAGTAATTGATCTGTATTTTTTAAAACATTCAGTCGTAATTTCTCCATTATCTATCAAACTAATTATATATGAATTCAGCTCAAGTTTCACAAACTTCATATATTATATACAAAGGTTCAGCATGTTATTAGCCACACCCAAAATGATGGCTCTAGACATCTTAGATTACAACTATCAGCATGGATAACAATCAGAAATGATAAATTTGTAATCTAAAACACCTGTTTTAGTATGTACCACATTGAGTCAAGGTAAAGCTGGGTATGTGCACTGGGTATGGTGAAGGGGAACAATTAAGTTTCATTATGCAAAGCTTTTGTTTTACTTTTAAAAGTTTAAACTGTGCTTTTTGAATTCTTTCTTTATAACAGGTAGTATATGGAAGAGATGTAGTTAATGTGAAGTGCAGATAGGCTGTGGAATTCAATGTTTATCCTTTTTCAAAAATAGTACATTTCAGTGCATAGGCACCCATTGTTTAAACAACGTTTTCAAAAATTTATAAAATTCAAGATCAAGGGATACATGGAACCTAGTTTAAACAGAACAAGAAACAGTAAGGAGAAAAGGAAAAAGTGAGGAAAAAAGGAGCCATGACTATGTATGTAAATTGAATTCCAGAAAGTAACCTGATGGGGTCCATAATATTTAACTTTATAAGCTTTCAACACCAAAGTAATTTTTTAGCAACTGACACAGCTATCAAAATTCTGTGCCCAAATGTGTAATTCATTTGAATTTGGAAATTTCTATGATAGCAGATTGCCTATTCTTCAGGATAGCAGTTTCAGGTCTTCACTTCTTTCTATATCATCTTATATTCATAGACTGCAATGTATTGTGTTACATGTGGTCCCTGATAATAATTGTTTCAATGTTTGCAAAAAGTAGGCAAGCCAAGAAAAAAATAAGGTGTGTCTATTAAAAACAATCTCCATTACATATATGTCAAGGGCATAATAACCAAAGGTCAGCATAGAATTTCATACAACTTACTTCGTACATATTATTAGAAACCTGCCTAGAAAAAAAAAAACATTTCTTTGCGCAATCAAGAATTAGTTTTAGATTGTTTTCAATCTTCAATAAAGTTGCTAATTCTTTCACAAAATATAAAGATGGGGAATTATATAAGATCTTGTTCATTATATGAAAGAACAAGCGCAAAGCAGCATGAGCAGTACAAATGAAAAAGATATCTGAATAAAATAAAGAGTTCTCAGATTTGTAGTGCAGATTCCCAATTTAAAAAATTAGAATAAAAAAAATTAAAAGTTTCAGATGAGGATTTTTCTATTTTTTTGGCTTTTATGAAAGAATCTTATTGTCAGTTTCTTTTGAATCACAGCTCAATGTTCAAAATATTAAAAAGCTGATGAACACCCTAAATTTGTCAATTCAGCTGCCTAATCTAGAAGAATATCAGAATGATGGATACTCTATCTCAGGGGTGTCAAACTGCCATCCACGGGCCGGATACGTCACGCTAAAACCGCACCCACCCCATTGCCGGCAATGAGAAAAAAGTCAGGATACATCGCGACACGTCACATTGCGGGTTTGATACCCATGCCCTATCTCAGGTTGTAAAATGGATAAATCTTAAAGTGATGAAGACTTAATGTAAGACCGTTCGTAACAAGTGAACCATGACACAAATTGAGATGAACAGATATTTTTCCACCTTATATATAAAATCAATGTTAATCATACGTGTTCACACAACGCTTCAAACTGCTTCCTCAGAAATATATCTATTTATCTCTATCTTGTTAAGTTACTCCATCCAAAACAAGAATTTTAGATAATGGTTCATAGGAATCTTCTCTGTATGTATTACCATTTTCTAGAAAATGCACCAATTACTACTGCCTTCCTTATATTAGAATTAAACACTAACACTCCAAAATTAAAAAGATCTTCACTTAATGTGGTTTAAAGTATACTTCTGAGATCACTCTATTCAATGAAATGGTCTCAAACATTCTTGAGTTTGGAAGCTTTTTTAAAAAAGTCATATTTCAGTTCTTTACAGATATTTTCTAGTTTATTCCTCTGAAAAAAGAAATTATTATTTTCCTCTCATTTGTCTCCAAGGAGTTCTAACTCGCCACAATCAATCCCTGGCAAGAGACTAATTACATAATCCCTCTTATTAGTTTCTTCATTGCTTTGCTCATTTCGAGGCAAACAGTTTTTACAATTCTCTGGATAGCATGGTTCCCACAATATCATATTCCACCTCTTATTATACTTCATTTGCTTCATTTAAGAAAATGGATGACGGTCATATTTATCCTCCATTTTTCTTAGAATATTCTTAAATAACAATGTTAAACAGATGTAAAGTTTACACTATTCTCGTTTAAAAAAATGGGACCAATAGAAATATGCTTCCAAAAGATCCAAAATATTCTACATTGTTCCAATTTTGAAGCTAATAACAGGGTAAGTCTATGAAGAGATTTTCTTCTGTGCCTCTTGGAAATATGGGATTCAAAAATCATGAAGAATTTTTCACAGAAGACATCAATGATGCTAAAGAAATGGATTTTTCACTCTAACCTTTCTAAAGACTCTTAAAGTCAGGGTCTTAATTTTTAACAAAAAATAGTAAGTACCATGGCTATTTATTTCATCCAAAAATTTTAAGTATCTAATTTCATATCTTCCATAATTATTCCGTCATGAAACAATCACTTCTCATGAAGCTTCTTTGCCTATTTACAAATTGAACAGACATTTGCTGGATCATCCCTTTATGTAATGGCACAATAATTTTCCATTTGGGCTGAGATTTTCCCAGTGTTGGAATACAGATCAAATCAGAATAATCTTTAAGAGGAAAAAGGCTATCGCTTTTTAAATGTTTAACTTCATTTTTAAATCTATTAAAATCAATGTGTTCTTAAGTACATTCAGTTAACAAGAAATGGCCAATGCAAATAGCAAAAAAAATGTTGCAGTGATAAAATTTATCTTCAAGAACCTAAAGATCCTTGTACCTCCTATAAAGAATACACAATGGCAACAGATTAAAAAGTGGCACTAATACAATCTGTATCTGAAAATTCAAGACTGATTATTTGGAATAGAACCAAGAATTTGAGATGTCTGTAAAGATACGAATCTGGATTGCTCTTCTAGTTTCCCATTCCCAAGATAATGGTTTTTAATTTAAAAAGGCATTGTTTGGCCCATTATTAAGCTAATTAAGACTCTCAACCTAACAGAACATTTGATTCACCTGTGTGATATAAATCAACGGTCAGTTTCAAGGAGGTCAACCTACCTTACCTTTTTCCTTATACAAGTCTATTCTAATACTGCTTAAGTTGATGAATCTTCTCAAAGAATGAGAAATAGACAGCGGTATTTATAAATCTAATAGATGATACCTCCTCTCCCTATCCTTACTGAAGTTTAAGAAATAATCCGCTTTTGAAGAAAAAGGATTGAAAGTAGATTTCAAATGAAAGCTAATTTAAGACGAAACGCGTTGTGAGTTGCCACAAAAGGCCCCATTCACAAGACAAGACCAGACACGAAGAACAAGTGGAATGAACCACTAAGCTTCCTTTGAAGGGCACGTGGCGCAGAACCACTTCCGTCCTTAAATACGCGGGAGAAAAAGCGCCTTGTGGGGAAGAATGAAATTTTTCTAGACCATCTCACGGAAATGAACGCCTTTAACCGTGTCGCCCCGCCTAACCCCCTCAGCGGAGGCCTTTCCTCTGTTGCAGAGAGCGCGAAGGAGCCAAGTCAACCTCCCTCGAGAGCCATCTCTTCCGCGAGCATCGGACTTTGGCGGCGGCATTATCATCCAGCCTTTTTTCCCAGCCCCCCGAAGCGCATTCGGATTCTTCCGGTTCTAAAAGAATTTCATTTCAAACCCAAGGGGGTTGCATTTTCCAAAAGCCTCTCTCTTTCCTTTCCTTTCCTTTCCTGCGAAGTACAATCGTTTGCCCGGATCGCTCGCTCGCTCGCTCGCTCGCCCTTCTGTGAGGCTGCCTAGAGGCGGCTTTCTCCACGCCCGCCAGCAGCTGCATGCAGGGGTGGCGCGATGTCACCATGTATGCGGAGCGAGAGGAGGAAAGCGGGATGAAGGAAAAGGAAGGGTGGGGGAGGGGGGGATTCGAGGTAACAACCTTTCTTTTCTCTGCTCTTCCTGGGAATCTGAAAGTTTTTCTTAAGAGGCAGATCTTCGGGGGCTCTGAGGAACGAGGCCCCTAGCCCCTCGCTAAGGGGCTGTGCCTGTGTCTGCTCGAGGGCCCCGGAGACCCCAGTCTTGCGATGGCCACTGCGCGGGGAGTCCCTGTCCTCTTCGGCGGCAGTGTTTAGCAGCGGCGACTCATCACTTCGGCTTCTTTCAGAGCGGGCGCCATTTTGTGTGCCATCGTCCGCTTCGGCTGCTGCAGCTCTGTTCTCCACACCGAAGAGGCCGCCGCTATCCTCCACCCGTTGAGAGGGCTCGGGCGCTTTTTCACCGCCACTCATAGCCGCGGCATCCGCCATTCAGCTGCGCGACACAGTCAAGAAAGAAACGACCCTGCGCTTCTCCCCCAGCGAGACCCCCTCTTCCTCAACGCCATGCAGGGCGCCCGCAACACCGCCTCCGCCTAGCCAGCGAGCCACCGCTTCCCGCTCCTTCCCTCCCCGCTTTCACTATAACATGGCGCTGGGGCGTCAGGAAAGAGGAGGAGCTTTTTCACCTCTCCTCGCAGCCAATCAGCGTTCAGCGGTTTTGATAAATTTGAGGAGGCGGGCCCCGCGCTCTCCGCGGGGATGTGGAAGGGAGTGGCGGCCCGTGGAGTACCGCGTGGCCGAGGTCGACGATCGAGTTTGGCTTTGGTGATTGTACCCAAAATAGAGGCTATTGAGTCTTTTTTTTCCCTCAGTGTCACCGCAAAATGGTGATTTAACTGCGCCTTTAACTTGAAGGAAACTGAATTTTTAACTAGGAGGAGGGAAAGGTTTCCTTGTAGATGTGTTAATAGCAAGCAACTTGGTGCTTTTTTCCTTCGGTATTTGAAGTACTGTATTTATGCGCATCAGTTTTCTGTTCTTAAAAATGGCTTAACTTCACCTTTGCTGTCTTTTTCTGCTAATCCTCCTCCTTAGCCCAAAACAGTGCATCGATATCAAAAAGTTTAGAAAGATGGCCAAATTAGGGTAGAAAAGAACTTTCTTTCGCTTTAGTAATGTATACTGCAGTTTTCTATGTGAAGGCGTATACAATGCTACTTTTTCAGGGAACGAGAAAACAGCAAATATTGAACAAACCTTGTATTTCAAACTTAGTTTAGTTTATTATTGCAGATACATTATTTTTAACCGTCCCAGCTATTCATGTATTTTTATGCATATCTTAGGTAGCTTGTGTGTTGCAGACTTCAATAAGCTTTTTTAATTGACAGGACATCCTGGTTTATTTGATTTCTAATTAATGTTCCACTTTTGTCTCTTCACAGAAACCTTTAAGGTGCAAAAGCATGTTCCTCGGTATTTTGAGGCAATTAAATTGTGCATTATTAGCCATATTCTCCTAAACATTAAAATTGACTTGTTTCAAGTTGAAATTAAAATGAGTGAATTTTCCCATTATGTATCTAATAATAATGTTTGCCATGTCTATATAGAAAGTTACAAACGGATGAATTCTGGACATAGGACACATTTTGCTTTGGATATAAGGTTATACACCTATAAAATAATTTAATTACCATAGTACAGGGGTCTTCAAACTTGGCCCTTTTATGAGTTGTGGACTTCAACTCCCAGAATTCCTCAGCCAGCTTGCCTGGCTGAGGAATTCTGGGAGTTGAAGTCCACAAGTCATAAAAGGGCCAAGTTTGAAGACCCCTGCCATAGTAGATTGAGAACTGTAAGAGGTAGTCTCTACCTCAGCTTTCTATGTGGTAATGTGATAGAACACATTCTTTCTCTTCATAAATAAAAGCAAACTCTGCTAATTGTCCACACAGCTTTTTGGGTCAGTTTTTCCTTTACTAAAAAGCAAGAGGGAACCCTGAACAGAAATGAGACACATATTTATATATTTTCTTAGCTATCACTTTGTCACACAGGGAAGCTGGCATTTGGTAGATAAGATAAAGGAGTAAAGAAATAGTCTTTCCATGATCATAAAGGCCTGCTGAGGTAACTGGGCTAACCGCATATATGTTCCATCAAGGCTATCATTAGATTTCTGATCAACATACTAAGCAGAATTCATTGTAGCTTCATCAATTTTTTAATCCCTGTTATATTTCAGTTATTAAAAGAATACAAATTGATAGTGAAATGAGAGATTTCCTATAGTACAACTAGTAATTGGAAAAGAAAGAAAAGTGCACATTAGTAAAGAGTAGGTAAGCTTCTCTTGTTTCTGGGAGCTGTGGTGGTGCAGTGATGGAATCCAGTTATTACAGACTAACTCTGCTTACTGCCAGAAGTTCAATCCTGACCAGCTCATGGTTGACTCTGTCATCCAGGCTTATTTCCTGCCTGAGCAGGGGGTTGGACTAGATGACCTCCAAGGTCCCTTCCAACATTATTATTGTTGTTGTTATTATTATTATCATTATTATTATTATAAATCTGAGTGCAATAATGGGGGAGGATGGAAAACAATGGGCAGCTCATCCATATGTGCTATATATGTGTTCTTTGCAGATGCTTCACAGCTATCTCAAAACATTCACACATCACTGTAATGGTACAGTTTTGTGAGACCAATTTGGATAGATCTAAGCTCAGGTAAATCTATGTTACTTCATTTCCTCTACATTAATAATAATAATAATCTTTATTGATTAGCCCTTGGGCCATATCAAAGTGCAAAGTTCCAACAACAAATCATTACCAAAGTCTAATAAAAGCAATTTAAAATAAAATTTGATAAAATACAGTTTAAAATGGAACTAGAATAAAATATGACTTAAGATGAAATTGGAGTAAAATACAGTCTAAAATGAAGTTAAAATAGA